AATACCTAATGAAATCTTGTCAAGAAAGTGTAAATGACTATGAAGAAATTGATAACGTTGAATTGAAACGAACACGAGACAAAGGATTTTTCGTGGTAACCTCGATCTTGATTGATCGAGACTAATCCACGGTGAGCTCGAAATAGCTCCCGGCTGATCTCTTATTAGGTTTACATTTTGACGGCTTGCTTACGACAGGTTTGTAGATAAACCTTATATAGAGATAGACGTAGGTTGAAACCCTAATGACTACCAAGTTTTCTTCTTTTACAAGGACAAGGAAACGAGAGACTTGAAGGACAAGTAGGACACGAAATTAATTACTTGACGACTAAATAATTAATATCCGCAACACTCCCCCTCAAGCGAAGACATGAACGACAAGAATGTAGAGCTTGAAACTGAACAACACTCAAACAACCTCTTGTTGGCAATGACGATCCAACAGGCTGTGACTTTGTTCGCTTGCGGGAGAGGTAGACAAATGATGAAACCACTCCATGCTTGACCTAGTTCTTTTGACAGTGAACTAAGCATGGTGAAATTCCTTGATGTCTTGGGTGAGATTGAAGATTGATGAATGCGTTGCTGACTTTGGAGACTTCTACTTGCACTGCTGACTGTGCTTCTCCATGGAACTTGACTGATAGACAGACGCGGTTGACTTGATGACTGAACTAGTCGAGATTCGACCGACGTATGTTGACCTCCTACCCCCCCCCCCCTCAAGATGGAGCATGAATGGCGTGAATGCACAGCTTGAAAGTTAGAATGGTAATGACTCAACATTGACCGATGCTGAACGTGGAGGGGACGATCTCTTCTTTGATCGTGACTGCCTCTCTTGATGACTTGAAAAACTTTATTGACGAAAGCTATATCTCCCCAACACTAGAAATTAAAGGGACAATCATTACAGGTCGCGACTGTCTTCAATGCCATGACTTGAATCGATGTTGGTGAAGACTTCCTTTGACTAAACTTGTCATACCCTCTTTGAACCGATGATGATAATTTCCAACCGATTGACAATCCAAATTAATGCACCCTCGGAGACCTAAATAATGAACACCTGAATATGCCATTTTTAAATGGGCCTGACCCATATTCCTCAAACAAAACCAAGGCTGAAGTGTTGATGGCGACCCAAAGGGTGAAAAATAGTGTGGTTCGGAAACCCCTTCTCCTGCCTCCAATTTCCCTTGGCCTCTGCTCGTCCCGAGGATGGTTTGCATGGCAATTGAACCCGGAAGTGGGACAACATGAGATGGAGCGATGGCAGCCATGTTTAATTGCGACAATGGCGCAGACGACGATGGTTGGCGACGACGACAAGGGCACAGACGAGATCGACGATGGCGATGGTTGGCAGCCTGGAACTGGAGATGATGGCTACGACCGGATCTAGTGACATGGAGACTGATGGTGATGATGACAATAACATGGTGAAATTCCTTGACATCTTGGGTGAGACTGATGAGTGCGTTGCAGACTTTGGAGACTTCTACATGCAGTGCTGACTTTGCTTCTCCATGCAATTTGACTGATAGACAGACGTAGTCGACTTGATGAATGAACTAGTCGAAAGTTGACTGACGTATGTTGACCTCCTATTGTCTAGTGACGATCGATTTCACTCGAGAGGACGCGATCAAAAGGTGATGGCGGTGGCAACGATGATGGCGCCTTGGCCAAGATCTGATTACGGAGCTGGAGATTTTGTTCTTGACGGAAGGAAAGACTTCGCCGACTATGATACGGATCTGGAGCTTTTTCATGCCCAAACACAAGGTCTTCATACTGTCCATTTCTTCCGGTGAGGTTATTGTTCTCACTTGCTTCTTAGGCGAATGGATTACCAAGGTCTTGGCTATTCCCATCTTATTTGGAAATCTTGCTAGAGCTGTTGATTTTGGATTCCTAACGCTCCCAAATGCAGCATCGGGTTCTGACACTGCCGACTTCTTTTTTCTTGGTGTTGTTAGGGCCCTGGCTAGGTTAGAAGATTGCTTTGGCATTACTTTTGGAGTTGTTGCAACCTGCTTAGGGAGCGACTTGACGTTCACTTTAGCGTCAACCAGTTTCTTAGATATTGAAGAAATCAAAGCCAGCCTCGGCACTCTAGGCTTGGCTGGTCCTATCTGTGGGCACTTCCGATCGGTCCTACCATGCCAACACAAAAGTAACCATCTGCTTTCTATTAGTAAGATAGCTAGCAAAAGGAGAAGTAAAGAAAAAGGTACTACTATACCTATGCATACCTTTTCTCCTTGTCACACTGTTCTTTTCGAAACTTCACGTTGGGACTTCTTGCAGCCATAACCAACGGGGAGAGTGCCAACTGTAATTGGATTGAATGTAGTGATTTGTATTGATTAGGAGAATGGTTTAAATACCAAACTCCTTATAGAAACATGAACCCACGTTGCTAGAAAGAGCGTAACAACCTAGCCACTACTCCACTAATTATATTAATTAAATAAGAATGAAATTGAGCTAAGAAGTTCCTTATCACGCCCCCGCAATATGATGGCGGGTACGACACCAATCTTGGAGAGAATAAGCTGGAAGCGAGTGATGGGCAGTGGCTTTGTCAAGGAGTCGCCCAGCTGGTATGCCGTGGGGACATGCTGAACTCGAAGTTGTTGGGGCTGCACAAGATCCCGGACAAACAAGTAATCAAGGGCGAGTTGCTTCATGCACGAGTGATGGATGGGGTTAGCAGAGAAGTTGAAGACGCCGAGGTTGTCGCAGTAGATAGTCGGGATGGATGGAACTGGGATCCAGAGAAGCTCGGACGTGACATTAGCGGGATCATGATACTCTGCTTTGGTGCTTGAGCGAGCAACGGAGCGTTGTTTCTTGGACTTCCAGGAGATGAGATTACCGCCATAGTAGACAAGGAAGGCCATCGTCGAAGTGCGATCGTTAGGATCACCAGCCCAATCCGAGTACGCGAAGGCAACAAGGGATGGAGTAGAGGCGGAGTCGAGACAAAGACCGAGGTGGGAGGTTCCCTTTAAGTAGCGGAACAGGCGCTTGACATGTTGCCAATGAAGCTGAGTAGGGGCATGCATAAATTGAGAGAGCTTGTTGACGGTGAACGCTATATCAGGAAGGTTGCAGAGCAAGTATTGCAGGGACCTAACATCATGTTTGTATAAGGTGAGGTCAGCGGGAGGCGATCTGTCGACGAGGAGCAGCTTGGCGGAGGACGACAAGGAAGTGGGGGGCTGGGTGGCAATCCGGCATACCGAACCGGTCGAGAACATCATGCACGTACTTATTCTGAGAGAGGAGATAACCTGTTGAAGTTGGAATAACTTCGATGCTAAGAAAGTAGTTTATAGAGCCAAGTGTCTTAAGAGAAAATCGAGTTGCAAAGCGGGGCTGGAACAGGTGAAGAGAGGACATATCATTGCCCGTAAGAAGAAGATCATCCACGTATACCAGGAAATAAAGGGTGACAGAGCCCTTGTGATAAATAAACAAGGATGCATCCGACTTAGACTTAACAAAGCCTTCTTCCTCACGAAAACCAGGGGGCTAGGCCATATAAACCGTCTCCAGTAAGGAGCCTTGGTGAAAGGCATTGTTGACGTCGAACTGCAGAAGATGCCATTGATGTGACAAGGCTATGGAAAAAACTGTGTGGATGGTGACAGGCTTGAGAACCGGGCTATAAGTATCATGGTAGTCGATGCCTGGTTGTTGAGAGAACCCCTTGGCCACCAACCGGGCCTTAAACCGCTCAATGGAGCCATCGGGTCGTCGTTTAATGCGAAAGATCCACCTGCAGCCAACAATATTAAATCCAAGTGTTCGAGGAACAAATGACCATGAGTGATTAGATAAGAGAGCGTGGAGGGAGATGATTCTGTCGTGACGTGGCATCTAGGAGTGCAGGCAAAGTTGAGGAGAGATGATGTCCAGCCTCCGGAGTAGATGGGAGAGGAGGGGAAGTCGTGGGTGGAGGGGAGTTTGCTGGCAGAGAAGAAATGGAATAAATAGTCATAGGAGGAGCAGTGAATGTAACCCAAGCTGGTGGATCAAAGGAAAGTTCAAAGGGTGAGGGTATCACAGGAAACGTACTCTCGTCAAACTGGAAGTGACGGGAGGTATAAATGCGGCGGGAAAGTGGATCATAACAATGATAAGCACTTTGGTTGAGTGAGTACCCCAAGAAAATGAAGCGGCAAGAACGAGGGTCTAATTTGTGGGCCGAGTTAGAATAGAGCCAAGGGTAGCACAAGCAGCAGAACACACGTAATTTAAGATAATTCAGGTTTTCATTGAGCAGGGCATAGAATGGACAGGTACCATGGAGAGAAGTGGAGAGTAGGCGGTTGATGAGATAGGTGGCTGTTTTAAATGCATGGGACCAGAAACGAAGAGGGAGGTTGGCGGTATGGAGAAGAGCAAGACCAGTCTCGACTATCTGCCTATGCTTGCGCTCAGCGAAGCCATTATGTTAAGGTGTATGGGGTGGGGTTAAGAGGTGAGTGATGCCATGGTTCTGAAAGAAAGAACATAGTTTCTGAAATTCGCCACCACCATCACAGTATACGCACCAAATGGATGTATGAAAATAATTCTCGATCATTGTTTTGTAAGTGGTGAAAATATGGTGAACATCGGATTTACGACCAATAGGATAAAGCCATGAATAGCGAGAAAAATGATAGATAATTACCAAATAATATGAAAAATTGTCATGAGAAAGAACAGGAGAAGGTCCCCAAACATCCATATATAACAAATCAAACGGATGAGAACTAGTGAGACTAGAAATTGAGAATGGCAGTTTGCGGCTTTTATGAAGAGAACAAGAGTCACATAAAGTAGAACAAGAACCAGAGTTGACTGGAAGAGACTGAGTACGCAGTACGCGAGAAAGGAGCTTGAAATGAGGGTGCCCCAGCCGGTTGTGCCAGACCACATAAGAGAGTCGGGTCACAGCGGATAAAGCAAGATGAACTAGGGTTGACTCCGCGGGAAGCTCATAGACATAACCTTTATTCGGGCCTCGTAGCAGATGCGACCCTGTGGCCAGATCCTTCACAACAAAATAAATCAACAATGAATTCCACAGAAACAAGATTAGATTTACACAGTTGAGCAACGGAAAGAAGTTGACGGTTAATGGCAGGCACGCGTAAGTCATTATGAAGATCCAAGCACGTCAGATAAGAGGACAAATGAGAGTTGCCAACATGTGTAATAACCAAACCTGAACCATCGCCGATAAGCACCTCATCTGGACCATTATAATCTGCGTAGAGGGAGAGATTACTGAGGTACGGTGTCATGTGATTGGTGGCAGCGGAGTCGACCAACCAGCCTGCTGAAGAGGAGGAAGCGACGGTGGTATGATGAGCTTGAGGATGCCCTTTGATGAAATATGAATATTTCACAGAGTGGCCAGGGCGATCACAAAATTGACATTGCAGCCGAGGCCGACCAAGAAGGGATGGAGACGCGGTTCCAGGGACATAATCGGGTAGTGGGCGAGGTGGATAGGAGTTGCGTTGCTGACGAGGGTTGTCCTCTCGAGTGGAGTAGTAATTAGCACCTGAAAAAGAATTGGTGGGGAAGGTGCGGCGACAGGCGCTAGATGGCCAAGCAGGACCACGACCACAAGCTCAGGAAAAAGCAGTGGTGGGATCTTGATTAGTGATATGAACAGCGGCCATATCAGCTTCTAAATTGACAAGTTGATTATGAAGGTCTTCGACACCAATGGGAGTGTCTCGAGCTCGAATAGCGGCAAAGAGATGGTCATATTCCTCACGAAGGCCACGAAGAATGTGAAGAATGAGATCCTCATCTGAAACCGGAGCGTTGATGAGGGCTAGTTCAGCGGTTGTACTGCGCTGGAATGTAAATGAATATAGGGTGATTGCCTTGGAATTCTTTGCCAAGTTTCTCTTTCAGATTGATGACGCGTTGCCGGGATTGATTGGCGAACATTCTCTCTAGAATCATCCAGGACTGACGAGATGTGGTTGTTGCAGAGACATACGGAGCAACGCTTGGGGACATGGATGCAAGAATAGAATGGAGTAGTAGATGGTCTTGCCTGTACCAGCGACGACGATCGGCGGTAGGAGCATCAGCGGCTGGAGCTGGATGAGTACCATTCAAGAACTTTAGGAGGTCTAGACCTCGAAGAAGAGTGAGAAGCTGGGCTCTCAAGGTAGGAAATTTGTCGACGGTAAGTTTTGTGGGTAGTTGAGAGGTAGGGTTCAACGTGATGACATTGTTTGCCTCGTCGAGATTTATGACCGTTTCACCTGACATTGTTGCAAAAGGAATATGGCTAAGAAAGGATGCAGTAGTGACTTCGAAAGTGTAGAAGAAAGAAGGAGGTTTGGCCGAGATAGGGAAGAAGAAGATTAGGTCGGATTTTTAGGAGAAGAGGTTAAAGGATTGTTAAGGAAATCGGATCCCTAGCTCTGATACCATGTAATTGGATTGATTGTAGTGATTTGTATTAATTAGGAGAATGGTTTAAATACCAATCTCCTTAACAGAAACATGAACCCACGAGTTGCTACAAAGAGGGTAATAACCTAGCCACTAATCCACTAATTACATTAATTAAATGAGAATGAAATTGAGCTAAGAAGATTCCTTATCCATGTCATAAACCAGTTGGTCCCAATAACATGAGTTGTTGGGAGAGGTTCAATCGTGGATCATATTCCACAACACTAACACGCCCCCTCATAAGAAAGCCACTCATAAGGGCTTGAAGTTTGCACAGGTCTGAAACAAGAACACCATGTACTTAACAAATGGGGGTCACAGGGAATCGAACACAAGACCTCTCGGACACAGAAGGCTCTGATACCATGTCAAGAACCAGTTGTCATAAACCAGTTGGTCCCAATAACTCAAGTTGTTGGAAGAAGGTTATGTTGGATCTTATACCACTCTCTAACACGCCCCCCAAACGAAAGCCAACTCATGGACTTGAAGTTTGCACAGGCCCACCATACCATGTGCTTGAAAGACAATGGTTAATATTGAGGGTTGTGGAGATTCGAACACATGACCTTTCGGTTCTAGGCTCTGATACCATGTCAAGAACCAGTTGATCCCAATAACTCCAACAACTTCAATGATAGAGTTTGAATGTTGACTAAGTACCAGACCCAGGAATGACCTATTCATATCAACTTACTTTGGGGATGAAACTTCTTTAGATTGCTTCAGATTCCATTTCTTCTTCGTGGTTTTGGTCACAACCTAAAAGTTAAGCAGGCCAAACATTTTAGCAATTAGCACGGGGACAACCCTAGACACATTGAATTTTCTCAACTGAATGCTACAAGCCAAAGAGCTAGTGATTAACTCTTTTAGATGTAGATAATCAGCATCAATTCTGTTTTTTTTCATCCCTTATGATCTAACTGGACATTGACAATTGTGCAATTCACAAAGCTAAAGAGAAACGCAGCAAGCCTTCCAAGTTCTAAATCACCCTAAACAGGAAAACGAAAGAAACCCAAAAGAGTTTTGAGTATCAAACTAGCATTTTGATTTTCGATTTGAAGTTAAACTGATTGTTACGTTCCTTTCTCTTCACGTTTCTCAGCAACCAATAACCACTAGCCACCCTAAAATTTGAGAGGGAATAGAATAGAAAGTTGAGATTCGTATTGTGTAACTGAACTGAAGGAAGTGAACACTGGAAAACCCGGAAGGGGAAAAAGGTCGACTAAAAGATTTGGGCTGTAGGGGAAGGAAGACTGGAATTGGCCTAGGAAACCGATCGAGTACTCACCGACTCGGTGGCAGAACTAGTTGCGATCATCACCAGAGCGGCGGGGATCGGGCTTAGTGAGGTCGACGTACTTGAGCGCTGCGATCTGTTCGTACAAGTCTTCTTCTACTTCTGGGTATTGCCCCTGCTGCAAAGAAAGCGATGATAACTCGTCTGCCATTGTCTACCGTGAATGAGAAGGAGCGTGATGGCTGGGCTGTCTATCCACCTTTTTTGCTATGTTACTTAGACCATCCTCAATGATGCAAACCTTATGCAATTTCAAGTGTGGTCCCTACTGCCACTTCAACAACTTTAACAACTACCTCACTCCTCACTTTCATACCATCTGCATCAATGTCATTCACATGCAATTGTATCGTGGGTCCTACTTAATTTTACTACAATTCTATATGCATATTACCTACATCATTTTACTAAAATATTGTATTGTCTTTCCAATTAAAATTAGTAAACTATTATATTGTTAATTAATATCAATAAATATAATTTAACTTTGAGTTGAAATTGAAAAGATTTAGATAATTAAATTAACAAGACCGAGAAAATACATTTTGGCCCAATAATTGCACCAATTTTTTTTATAATGATATCCAATTTTTTATTAATAACAAAAATAAAATATTTAAATAACACAAAGCACATATCTCAAAAGCAATAAAGCTAAAAAATACTAGATTAATCATCTTCTTCCTCGTCACCAAATCAACTCCATCTCTTTTCTATCAAATCTGCTTGAAGTCGGATATTTGTTGACCGATTACAAATTCTTGCATTGTTTCGAATATACTCTTCGTATTCAGGGAGATGAGATTGAGAAACTGTTGGCATGGATACAATGAATCCCGCTCATCTTCCACGATTATGTTGTGCATATTTACACATGCTCTCATGAGGTCTCCAATTATACCTTTGCACCACATGCGTGATGGACCATTAATGATTACAAATCGTGCTTGGAGTACCCCAAATGCTCTTTCAACATCTTTCCTGGCTGCCTCTTCCTTCTTAGCGAGTAACTTGTCCTTCGGTCCTTGAGGTAATGGGATTGCCTTGACAAATGTTGCCCAATTAGGATAAATACCATCAGTGAGGTAGTAACCCAAACTATAGTTACTTCCATTAACAGAATATTGAACCTTTGGTGCTTTTCCTTCTAACACCTCATGGAAAACAAGAGACCGATCTAGCACATTTATGTCAATCAATGTACCTGGAAAACCAAAAAAGCATGCCATATCCACAAATCCTGTGAAGCAACAACTTCAAGCATAATCGTAGCAGTTTTATGATCCCCTCTAGCATATTGACCCTTCCATGCCGTTGGACAATTTTTGCACTCCCAATGCATACAATCAATACTTTGTAGCATACCTGGGAAACCTCTTTGTTGTCCCACGTGGAGCATGCGAGCAATATCTGTGGCATTCGGCCACCTCAAGACGAGAAGAATAGGGCAAAGCAGTTATATCTTGAAAATGACGGTAAAGATTTTGTTTTTATGCATGCTTGGGTTGTCTTAAAGGATGAAGAGAAATGGTGGAGTCAAAGTGAGAGGGCTAAACCTCTTGACCACGATGAAGATAGATGAGGATCGAAGAGGACTAAAAATACCGCTTCTGGTCAATACACTTCATCATCTTCAAATACAACCATGTCATCCATGGGAGAGCCCGAGACCGTATCTCATCTTCGTCCCCCAGGTAGAAAAGCCTCCAAGGATAATGGTAAACAAAATTCTATGTCATCTGAATCATCAGAAAACATGCAGTTACTACAAAGACAAGCCGAAATTGAAATGGAAAAGGTATAAGCAATGAGAAATTTTCGACCATTATGGACACTGATTTGAAGTCAAAAGAACAACGTCGGAAAGGTAAGCTGATCATCAAATTATTGCCTTTGGATCCAACAACAATGACAGAAACTCAAAGAAAGCTACATGAGTTTCAAATGAATGAGCTACTTGGTGATAATTAATTTATCATTGTACTTTCATTGGATTGTGTCTTTTCCTTTCCGAGTTTTCAATTTGATTAAAATTAAAATGTTTAATGTTTTGTATCTGTTTTAATTTGTGAGTGTGTTCAATTAATCATGTAATAGTTGTCTTGATGTGTTTAGTGTGTTTTTCTTTTCCATTTGTACTGAATGGATGTATTATTTTGAAATATATGTGAATCTTGAAGTTTTAATCATAATATAAATTTATTTATATAAAATAATCACGTTAACCATGAACTAAATGCATTAAAATCTATATTATAAATTTATTTATTTAAAATAATCACGTTAAACATGAACTAAATGCATTAAAATCTATGTGGGATGAAAAGCAAGTAGAGAAGACAACAAATGATATTTTCCCAAAAGAAAGGAAGAGAAACCTTCCACCACCTAGAGTATAGAAAGAAGAAAAGAACAAAGAGGGGCCCACCTTGCAATTGCATGACCACTTTCATGGTGTGCAAATTTGCACAGAAAGAGACCCTTCCTCCAACAATGCCACTCACCTTTTAAATTGCAAGGGAGTGCCACGTAGGCATGCAATTGCCCCCATTACCACAGATGGGGATGGTCTTAGGGGTCGTTTGGATTGAGTATTTGGGGGTGTTATTTGGGGTCAAATAACAAATTTTGTGTTATTTGACCCCAAATAACACGTTTGGCTGACAAAAAGTGGGATGCATTATTTGGATGTAAGTGTTTTGCCAAATAGCAGGTTTGAGACCAAATAACACAAAAAGTGTTGTTTGCCAAATACTTGAGAGGGGGCAGGTATTTGCCAAATAACAAGTTTGAGACCAAATATCACATACCAAATAACAGGTTTTATATTATGTGGTATTTTGTGGCAATTGACTCCAAACAACAAGTTTGACAAATACTCAATCCAAACGACCCCTTAAGGGAGTAGATCGTTAATTTGGACTAGAGAGTCGGATAGTGGGAGTGAGCTATTGATTTTCTTAAAAGTAGTGTCAAACACTCAAACTTGGAAGTAGCCGTCAGAGAAAGCCATTTTGTTTCGGTCAGGTCCTCGTTGGAAAAAGAAAGGATCCCTGGAATCTTATAAATAAAAAATTTGGGGGTGGGGGGGATTTCAAATACAACTGGGGTAAGTAGTATTTACAATTATAGATGGTAAATAGGTTGGCTTTATTTGGATTGGTTGATTGAATTGATCGATCTATGGATCAAATAGATTGGATCAAATGAATTGGATCAAGTCGATTAGTGGATTCATGGATCCAAATGACATCCTCAATCGTGGACCAATAAGTAATTTGTGAAAAGTTTATGAACTAAATGTCATAATGAAAAATTATAGGTACAAAAATTTAAATTTTCAATAATATTTATCGTATACAAAATTATATTTTTGTTACCAAAATACAAAAAATAAAAATTATAAATACAAAATTATAATTTGCTAATAATCCATGAATCTACCAATCCAATTGGATTTGGATCAAATGGACTGGATTTCAATGGATTGAATTAGTTGGATAGTTTTAATGGATTGGTGGATTGGATTGGGGATTGCCACCTCTATTTACAATCATTCAGATGAAGAGTAGTTAGAGTACGACTACTCGATTACTTCTTGACTACTAGAATTTTCAATCATTCAGCTACCTAAGCTTGAATCCTTTCTTCATATTCCTCTACAATTTCGTCATTTTTATCCATTAGAATTTATAGTATCAACTAATATGACCTCATTTATTGCACTCATGATATATAACGTCTCTAATCAACACAAAGCCAGAAAGTCCAAAAATATTTGCTTGATTTCCATTATCCAGCTCTAGAAACAAGCATTTATTTTCAGCAGCGGATAGTTTACTTCCCAGTGAAACATTTTCAGCTTTTAAGCAAGCTATCATAATTGTTAGAGCTTCCAATTTATATGCAATATCAGAACCTTTGTCAATCTCATTTTATTTCCTTAATTTTTTCAATTCAACCATTAAAGTTGAGTTTCAATAACAAAAGATTCTACTTTCTCATCAGAAATCAATTTTTTTTATGTTTCAGTTCCTCTAACTCTCTTTTCAGTTCAGAAACCTCATCTTCAAATTCCTTCTTTAGGTTCTTAAATCTAGTATCAAATTTTAAATACAAACTTTGCACTCTAAGGACGTCATCAAAAGATTTCCCTCAAAAATAAATTTACTTGGGGCTATTTATATTTTATTTTGTTCAACAGCCTGCAACTAGCAAAACAATACTTGCAACTTTCAGCTATGCTTGCGTTTATTTTCTTGGTTGCCTTACTTATCCCTAGTGATATACATTGATATTGTTAAGATAAAAAATATTACCAAAAATATAGGGAGAACTAGAAATAATTGATTTATATTGATATTGTGACCGAAAGCGAGAATGGGTGTCTCACACATATTGAGCATAACTAAAGTTAGCTCAGTATGCCCGTCGACGCACGAGGTGAGCAAAAAGTATAGAAGGAGGTACTTGGGGTTCCTTGACTCGCTTTTACTACAACTCCAAATAATGGTCATGTGCAAGCACAGATTGGGAAGCAATATAGTGGTGTAAAGTCTTAATTTCTCAACCTAGCGTGCTAGCTGTACTCTTATTCTGTGAAATGGCTGTTATATAGGAAATCGTTTGTCGTGAAGTTCATTAAAATTAATGAAAACAAGATAAGTAATTTGATTCGACTTCAGTGGTGAGAAACTCACTCGGGTTTGTTCCCCCTAGTTCTTATTTAGGTCAATGTTGATTATTACCTAGTTTGTTTCACTTGATACTTTACTGTGTAGAATCCAAAATTAGTTTGAATCTCTACTAAAGCATTCCAAATCCTCATGATTAAACTACATAGAGGAAGATTATCCTCAGCCAGAATAGAATATCAAAGCCATATGGTAAGATTCCCTCTATTGTATGGAAATCTGGTACAAAGAAGTGAATTGATCCACTATTCACACAATCGATTCACTACCATCAATTGAAGGTACTCTATTCATAGGTTAAAGTAATAATTGAGAAATTTGATCAAGATTCAAACAAAAACATGGATAAACTTCAACGGAATAAATAATATCAAGTTTTACAAACAAAATAATATTCACAATCGACCATAACACACCGATCTAGGGTTCTACATACCCAAGCAATGGAATGGACTAATCCATAGATCTATGAAAGAAA